GTAATGGTTTTATTAGTCAGATTTCAGATCCCCCATTGACGACTAGACATATTTGTGTAAATCTCAGTTAATAAACAGACACAAATATTAACCCTCCTACTTCATTGTGTCAGGAATATTTCAGCAAGCGCTGTGTCAAGCAGACTGACTTCAGCATCACAGGTCTGGTAACCCTTCGAAAGGAGTGGGCAGACACTAGAGATCTCCTGTGCAGGTAAGGGAAAACTGAAAATTTGCTCTTTTTAGAATGACTAAGAATGTGACTTCAATGTTTCTTTTAACTTACGCAGCTCTGTAGGTTGCAGAAATATTCCTAGACTGGGTTGTGTGCTGAGAGACATGCTTGCTGGGTTTATCTTTTCATTATAACAGAGTTATGTCCAAAAGATTTAAGATGATTTTAAAATACTCCAGAAAATGACTCCTCGCCTTGTAAAGGTGATTTGCAGGCTCTTAATGATGATTCAGTGGTGCTTGAAACTGACTCATATTTCCTTTAAAGTGATTGACATCATGTACCCAAGATGACTTAGGGATGCTTGAATATTTCTCACAGGCATTTCATTCTCAGGCATTTCATGCCGACTCACAGACACTTCAAGGACAATCAAACCTGCTCAAACAGCCACCTGTCCAAGACAACCACTTAGACAACAACTTCTTGACTCCCCTCCCTTTGCTTTTTTTTTTCCACAATGACACTGTTCGAGACATCATGCACCTATTTGAAACCACCTCTTTTCTCTTCGACGTTGGGCGGCCGTCTTAGAGAATTTTGACTGGGATTGTGTCATTGCGGTTTGTCTTTGACCCGAAGGAGCTATTCATACCACAATTTGTACTTGTAATGTTACAGAGAACTGTTCCAAAAATTCAGTGCTGTGTTTGCACTGGAGGGAGAACATGCTTCATTGAAGATTCCAAAACCGTTCCAGCGTAAAGTGAGAAAGTGGCTGGGAAACGATGAAGCACTTTTCCAGCAAGTGTACAACCAGGTAAGTTGGTTTGTTTGTGTGTATGATGGATTTTCCAGGGTTATTGTTTATATATATAAAAAATCTTTTGCTTAATATATGTGTATGTCAGATTTCTTTGTGTAATTAGTTCATATTTTTTTTGCTCATTGTGATCACAGGATATACTTCTTGGGTATTGATGTAACAGTGCATTTATTCCTGTTGTATTGCAGCAGTTAATGAAAATCGTTGCCACCTGTTTATGCTGTTATATTGTTGTTTGCAGTTGATTTTTTCTCCTTTTCGTAACCTGTGAATGGATGGTCAATGCATACTTTCGTGCAGTCTGCTCTATCTACTTTTTTTTTTTAGTTTAAACCTTTTTTCCTTTTTGCTCATTGTCATGTACATGTTATTTTGTAGACTCACTTTAAGCTGTGGCTTCTTTTACTATACTTTTAGCTTTGGGTCTCCCCTCCTTCTTTTTTGTGTTTGTTACTCTCTTGTAACACCTCTAGTCTTTGGCACTTATATGACGCTATTGTGTTGCAAGTGCCGAAAACTCCTAATAAAACTAAAAGATTCTGTTTGTGTCACTAATGTATTGTATTTGGGATATTCTGCTATGTGCACGCATTGTGGTTATCTCTTGGCCTCATTTCAAACTCTTTAGGAGAGCTTCATTCTTTGTTCAAACATTTGGTAGTTTATTTCTTATCAGGAGAGGACTTGTCAACACAATACTTCTTGTGTTTGTACACAAAGTCTAGGCTTTTGGCAATCTATAAAATCTTGTTTTTTCTTTCCTTTTCCCTTTGTTTCTATTGGTTGGTAAATATTTTTATGTAAGTGAGAGATAAAAGGACCACTCATTGTAATGTGTTTATATCTTTCTGTCCCGAGTGTAGTCATCCATCTTTCATTCTTTTCACCAACACTTTTCACCCAACCTACACTTATTGTCACGCACCCCCTCCCCGAACTATCTCCCAACCTCCAGCTAACACCTCCACGGAGAGAGAGAGAGAAAATGTTTACAGAGCAGAGGTGTTTCAGCACGTAATTCATGTATTTAATTACCTGTCTTGTTGTGTGCATGCATGGGTGCTCGTGGTCTTTGTAACACCCACTGCCAGTGTAAACGACCAAGACAAATTTCTCCCTGCGAGATGAAGAAAGATTGTCATTGTCTTTGTTAGGCAAGAGATCCCTTCAAGTACCTTTTTTCGTTTATTTTTGTCCTTGTCCTATCAGCCGTGCATGGGTTACGCTTTGTGTTCCACATGATCACAAAAATATCTTTTCTTTCCTAACAACTCCCAACCCCCCCCCC